TCATGCCAACCAGCACTTAGACAGGCACGGTCACACACACACTCAAGCCATCCAGCACTCAGACAGACATGCAGTCCAGCAAGCGTGCACACACAACAGACTTAGTAGCAAGCGGGAAACTCAGCAGGGCATTCAGTCAATGGGCAAAACTCGGAAATCAGTTGTGTGTTTCAGTCCATGTATGGACGGGTCATCACAGAATGGGGAAAAAAAAAAAAAAAAAAAAAAAAACTGTAAAAGTCTATAAAACAGCAAGGCAAAAGTGCACTTTCATGAAATTTCACCAACATTCTGATTTCAGAAATCTTGAGAAATTTCAGAAATCTCAGCAGAGGAACTTTCAATGCTCCAAATGATACCAAATTTGGCACACAGCAAGCTTGAACCAAAACAAAAAGAGGCAAACAAAAAACAGAAAAGCTCAAAAAACATAAAATTTGACCCCCAAAACCTGATGTCAGTTTTCGACCGTTACTCAGGAGCTGAAAGTGGGGGTCCCCGTTAACCACTTGTGCCCTGCGCTGCCATTGTCGCCATAGCTATAGACATTGGTGTCAAGGTTGGACGAGGAGGAGGAGGATTGAGACTGTGAGACTGGAGGGTTTGAGGGGAAGCTTACCTGCACTTACCTGGCGACGTCGTGTGTGATCTGCTGCTCGTCTCCCCGAAGGTGAGGAAGACATCCTCCCTTATGGGTTGCTGATGTGGATGGAGGATGGACGCCCGCTGTGATCTGCACACTGTATCCGTCACAGAATGTCAGAGAGAGACTGCACTGCTGAGGTGGCGACAGGGGGGATAATGCCCGAGGAGGAAGTGGGCAGGAAGAGAAAAGAGACTTCATGCATGATTGATGGGAACTCTTCTTCTTCCCCTCCTCCTCTCTGTCTCCTCTCCCCACTAATTCTCTTCTCGGAAGTTACGATGCTCTGGAAAAGTGCACATATGCTGCGCACACCGCATAGACGATATATAATCGGTTTTGGAGACATTATTTTGTCCGCTGGGTTTGGAATTGTATCACCACACTGATTGGCTTCTCGATACGACGGGGTTCATTACTGAAAAGCTCTTGAGTTTGAATTTGAACGCCTTCGTCCTCAACTTGGAAGCGCCGTTTGTCGTGGACTGTTTTCATGTTCGTGGAGGTTTTTTTTTTTTTTTTTTTTTTTTTTTTTTTTTTTTTTTTTTTTTTTTTTTTTTTTTTTTTTTTTTTTTTTTTGCTTTTTCCTTTCTCTTGGTTAGATTTTGTTAGGTGATGCAACAGCGGAATGATAATGCCTATCATTAGATTCATTTTGGCCTTTCCCTTCTTACTGCAGCTACTGACACATGAGTTAACCAGGTCTTCTTCTGTTCATCTGATTGCATCTGGATTCAAACTTGGGTCTGCATTTCAACAGTTCATGGGTGCACCACATGCGTTAACCAAGTCTTCTTTTGTCTTCCTTTGACTCTTGTCGTGATCTTGATAGTGATGCAAGAGCTCATTATGGATGGAACATTTGTCGTGATGGTGATGCAAGAGCTCATTATGGAACATGTCTGTTTTTTTTTTGTTTTTTTTTTTTTTTTTCTGGACCAGTGATGCTAAAGCCAGTACGAATGTGACTGATGGGAAGAAAAGCTATTCTCTGTGGCTGATGATCTTGAAGTTGTGGGGCGAGCATGCAAATCTTCTGATGTCTTGGCTGTTGTTGGGCGTTTCTCCCCTTGATACTGTCCCTACGATCTCGCTTCTATTCATCAGCTTCTCAGCGAGGGAATTTTCACACTGCCAAAAGTCTCCATTTCCACAATGGAGCTCAGCTTGTTGCCTGATGTTGCTGCCTGGGAAGAAGGTGAAAGAAGGCCTCAAGTCAGAGGAGATCATGCTGCCAGGGAAACCCAATTGCAATCGAGTATGCCTCCTGCAGAAGGTTCCCAAAAGTTATGGGACAAATTGACGAGTGAGCTAGGCTTATGCAAGAGCTTATGTGTCAAGCCTGGAAGTGATGGGTGTTCAACAGGGGTTGCACGCTTGAGGTGGGTGTTTTGATAAAATTGAATTCTTGAAAATAATTGTTATTATTTCCTTCTACTACTGTGGAGCTAGGGTTTGTGTACTCCTGTGAAAGCCCCCGAGAACCCGTGAGTCATGACAACCACGCTTGAGTTGCTCAACCTTCTTCTTTCTTCTAGTCTCAGGCCTTAGCAGGAGGGGGAACATCAGCCTCTGCGCCGTGACCCCATGACCTCTGGCCTCTGGCCCTTGAGGGAAATGTCCAAGCGCGATATGCTGTATGTGTTATCGTCTTCTGTTACTCACAACCCTCACATGTCTGCACTTCATCTTCCTATTCTCTCTTTTGCCTCTTCCTCCTCACTGTTCACATCTCCTGCTCCTAAACTCTGTTCCTTTGCCTGTCTATATTTCGTTGCAATAGTCCAGTCCATAAAAGAAGAAGTGATAACCAAACCAGGCCTTCTACTTTTCCGAAGGCGTTATCGTCTGGCAAAGAAAGTAGTCTGCTCTGAGGCACTTCAAAGCACCAGTACATGGCCCCAGCCAAGTTGAGAATCCGACTGAGCCTCTCCTAAAATTTCGGAGGTTCGCGCGCTGTTGATAAAATACATAGACTTCGGGCGGCCTCCCAAAGGGGCCCACGGCCGATGTATGGCATGTACTGGTGGTTTAAACCACCAGTACTTGGCCCAGCTATCGATGGCGAGCCTCGAAACGTCCTGCGTGCCAAGTTTCCCCGAACCGCCAATGCATGTTTTCTTCTTTGTTGTTGTTGGCTGGCGCCTCCGGCCTTTGTGGTCCGGTGCCCCGAAGCGCGCAGGTCGCGGCGCGTTAACGGCTAAGGCCCGCGGCCGATAGCTGGGCCAAGCACTGGTGGTTTAAGTTATATCTATTTTGGCTCAGCTATCGGCCACAGGCCTCCACCCCTTGAGGCACTATGAGACGCCTTGAGACACTCTCAGACATTTTAAGGCACTCTAAGACACTCAAGAGATATTTTGAGACACCTTGAGACGCTCTGAGAGTCTGAGACATTTTGAGACGCGTTGAGACACTTTGAAAGTTTGAGACACTTGAGACACTTGTGAGACACTTGTGAGACACTTGTGAGACACTTGTGAGGCACTTTTTTTTGAGGCACTTCAGAGACACTTCTGAGACACTTTGAGACACGTTGAGACACTTCTAGACACTTTTGGGACACTTTGAGACACTCTTCTGACATTTTGAGACACTTTTGAGACGCTTTGAACTTTGTGAATTAGTACAAGCAATTATAAAGAGACCAGCCTTTCCCATCAATATGCGGAATGAAATATAGAATGTGATGGTGCTTGAACATGCATGCAGTTTTTTAATGCGACTGTGATGACATGAATTCTGTAAACAGCTGTGCAGGGGATCTGACAAAGTATGCAGCCGCTGTGAGGGCCAGCTTGCCACAAATACAGGCGAACACTTTTTCAAAGGTCAGAAAACCTTTTGAGTATAGTATTTGTTGCTGACATTACATCGATGGAAACATTTAATATCGGAGTCTTGAATAAACCTCCAAGTTTTAATTCTGAAAAATATAGAAACCGGATTTGACAAATTGTAAATGTTTGATCTGGGTTTTCCAGTTCCAACTTTTCCTATCATAGCGCAATCCTTTTTTTTTTTTTTTTTTTTTGCCAAAACAGGTCCTTATGACCCTGGCTCGATTTCCATTCTGGGAAGCATCAGTCCGGTTCCTATTCCACCGGTAAGTCAGAATAAACTGTTAGATCATGAGATACTCACGCTTCCTTCCATCTGGTCGAAGGAACCCTGACCAGCATTGATTACTCCGGCATCGAGGAGGATTGACTATCAGCTTGCCTTACTTCCACCTTTCCTCTCAGGTCCACTGTATGAACCTGTCGGATAAATGATAAAGAGCAAGAAAGGTAAGAGAGGCTACAGAAGATGCAATCTTGGACTTTGCCCTTCAATATTACATGGCCTGTGATAGATCTTGTCCCTCTGCTGGCTGGGATCTCTGCCATCTCCACCCTGCTTCTGAGTTGTGCCAATCTTTCCACTGTAAGCGAAAGTCGTTTATCTCTGCTACTTTGCCCCCTGCGAGCCACACCTTAGTGAATTTTGCCTTGATTCTGCTCTGTCGCTCTTCATCATCTGGCATGGAGTGTCTCGTCTTATGCCACTTACAAAGAATCTCTGCCTGAATCAAGGTCCTTGTCTCCACCCATACCTTCTCCCTTGGAGTTGAGAGTTTCTCAATGGTTCTGGAGCACCTTTCCTTCCAGATGGACCACAGCGTTACCTTTGTGATCTTTCTGAACCACGTTTTCTGAGTCTTGTGGAATTGAGCTGGGATGCTAGTCCATAGGAGTTGGATGGGGTGTTCAGGGAGGGGAGTCGAGAAGAGGGAATCCCAGATATCCGATGCCGTCGTCCAATATTCCATCGCCTCTCTACAGCGTATCGCCTCTCTACAGCGTATCAGAGAATGTAGCATATCTTCTGGTTTATTTGAAGATACCGCGCATAAATCTGAACTGTCAAGGTCGTTCTTACTTCTTATGATGTGCAGCCTAGAGCCACGTATGTGATGAGCCATTGGAGGCTTCTGATTTTGACCAGTCGGATTAACTTGAAATTTTTCCATGGTATTTGAGGGGTATGACTAGCGCCCTGACCTATTAACTTCTGCCATCTGTTCTTGATCGTTGGGTCAGGGTCCTTCGTTTTGAGGAGTAAGTTGTATCCCAGTTTGACTGTGTATTCCTGGATGGGGACCTTCGTTTTGAGACTTCTGCTTCTGTCTGGTGTCCAAGCCCACTCTGCTGAATCAAATTCCAAGTCTTGAATCGCCGTATCTATCCTGAAAATTATTTTTGGCCATGATCCCAACACTCTTACTTTTCTGAGTATAAAGGGGCTTAGGACTGTTCTTTCCACCTCGTTATTTAGGATAGATGGGAGGCCTTGCATGGAGGGGGTGATTGGGAAAGAGGTAAACCTATCCAACCCTTGCTGTTGAGGGGGGTAACATCCTGCACCCTCATTCCGCATTCACCCGATTTCCAAGCTGAGGCTTCGCTCAACAACTCCTTCCAGCCTTCTGGCATGCAGTTGATAATGGATTGTAGGTTCTCGTCTCGTCAGTGACATCCTTTGAGCTGGGAGGCAAGTTCTTGTTCTGTCACCCAGTCCTTTTTCTCCTCGTTCCACAGATGGCTCACTTTCCAAACCATGTTTGATCCACGATAGCCATCTCCTTCCTCTAGGCTTAAGGGATAGTTGGTGATCACTTTCGTCTCTCAGTAACGGGTTACCAAGTAGGGGTTGCCTTAGTACCTCGTCTTTGGATTTGGGTTTACCCACCTTCTTCGACATGACCTCCCGCCGTATCCGTAACAATGCAGTCCAATATGGTGTGGGGGCGCTGGCTTTGTTTGGACCAATTGCTCTTCGTTGATTTCTGCATCCTGTATTTGGGCCAGAACAGACCCGACATATTTGCTGGTGTGGCTGTAGGTGCTAGGCCCCTGATGCTATCCAAGGCCAGTGTATTCCACGCCATACCAGGTTTAGTCAGTAGTTTAACTATCCATTTAACTTGTAAGGCTTTGGTTTCCCGTTTGGGGTCTATGATACCAAGACCTCCTCTGGCTGGTGTCCTTGTGATGTAATGCCAGGCTATCTTTGGTATACAGTTCTCTTTGTTGGGGTCTCCTGACCACTAGTATGCTCTTGCTTTGCAGTTGAGTTCCTTGATTGTATGGTCCGGAACTGTCCAGATTGAGGCGATATACCACATCATTGAAAAAATAGGTGTGTTGATGGCTAGTGCTCGGCCCAACAAAGATGTGAATGTTCTCTGATCTGCCCAGTTTGTTAATTTGTTTAACGAGTATATTTTGGGTCATTTGAGAGGCAAAGCCGTCTTCTGTCAGCAAAATGCCTAGCTATCATGTAGGGGTCTCCGGTGTCTCCCATGCCATGTCTGCCTTGGTGCCTTGAAGTTGGGGAACCTCCTCCTCCAATAGCCACCAGCCGATTGTTTTCTTCCAATTAATCTTCATTTATGATGTCAGTCTGAAAGCTTCCATTGCTCTTACTAACGCGCTGAACGACGAGTTTGAAGCTCTTACAAGGACCGTAAGATTGTCTGCAAATATTATTATGGTCAGGAACTGCAGGTGGTGGGCTGTTCCTACATTGACCTCTCGTAGCCTGCGAATGGATGGATCCTTGCATAGGAATGAAGCTATTGCTTCCATCACGAAGAGGAAGATTGGGGGGGCTAGCGGGTCCCCTTGGCGAACTGACAGAGAGATTGGATAGCAGTCAGAGAGCAAGGCAGTGACTTGGACACACCCTATGGCGTCATTGTACAAAATGTGCAACCACTTCCTAAAATTTGGTCCCACTCCCATATTTTCCATGCTTGCATTGAGAAAGTCCCGGTTAACCTGGTCGTATGCCTTTTCAAAATCGAAAAAAGAAATTGTTGTGTGTATCCTTTTTTCTCTGCCTTTGTTGGCCACTTCGTTGAGGGCTAGTACATTTTTTTTTGTCCAGGATGCATCTCCCAGGGATGAAGCCTGTTTGGTCGATATGAAAGCATTTCTCTGTCAGGTCTAGGATGCGTAATGCAAGAGTTTTGGCTAGGATCTTATAGGGAAGGGTTAGAAGCGAGATGGGTCTATAGTTCCTGATATCTTCTCTCTTCCCTTTTTTGTAGAGCAAAGTGACCACGCTGCTACTCAGTAAGTTTCCCAACCCCCACTTAAGCCAGTTATCGTTGTAGAAGTTTATGTGAGGAACAAGCCCTCAAGGGCCCCTATCAGACATCACATTGTTCTGGGCTAAGGCCCCCAGCAAGCCGAGTGCCCGCCCTAAGTGAAGGCGGGCCTGAATATTCGTCAAAGGCCAAATTCGACATTTCCATATGTGGGTATTCAGGCTCTCGCAGCACGCCAGTTGGTTGGGAAGACGCGTGAGCCTCACATTGCTGCTTCATACAGTTGGCCCAGGCCTTGACAGTTGCGCCTGGGCACACATACACAAAGCAGGGCCGATACATTGGGAAGCAGGCCTTCGACCTTTGCAAAAGCAGTAGTGCCAACGCACCTGCCTGGGAGCCCTGCACAGATGCAGCAAACAGCCCAAGTCCGGAGACTCAGGCCGTGCCTAACTGCAAAGCGCCCAGGCCCTCAACTGTAGTCTTGGGCCTGGGCGCAGGGTCTGGGACCCAACCGGAAGCTACTGGAAGCTTCCAGCCAGGCCACACGCAGCATCCAGAAGGCTGCCACTTCCACAAAAGGAATGCGGCAGCCCAGGCCAGGCATTCGGGCCAGCGCTGGCAATGCGGAAGTGCTGTTGCGCTCTCGCTTGATGCTGCGCTACTGCCAAGGGCACTGACGGGGCGCGAGAGGTGTAGTGGGGAGTTGCAGGGCAGCGGGGCGCAGGCAGCCATAGCCGGGCTGCTGGGCGCCAGGGGGTACAGCGGATGATCAGGTGGTCTTCAGGGAAGGAGGCGCTGTGTGGGGTAATCAAGGTCTGATTGAGGGTGACGAGATACGTACGTGGTACATGAAGAGAGGTCGGCGATGGTGTTGGCAGTCATGTACATTGGTCTTCGTGAGTCGAAGTGATCCTGTTGCGTGAACCAGCTGTAGGTAGGATAGTCTGGTAGAGTAGGCTGGGCGCTGAGCGCCAGACAGAGCAGAGCGACTTTGGATACTGTGCTGGTGTGGCCTACGGGCTTGAACATTGGCTCATTACTTAATTGTATTGCTCTATATGGATGGTTTTCTCAGTGCATTTGTACTCTCTGCTTGGGACACGACTACTTGAACAGCTGTGTGATTTCACAACTTGGTTTGATGTATATCCCTCACACTCATATTCCTTGCATTTAGCAGATCGCCCCCTAAGAGCGGCCAAATTTTTTCCCAAAATTCTTTTGTCAGCCCGTCGATTCCTGGTGACTTATTGTTGTTCACACTTTGGACAACGAATTGCAGTTCCTCCATAGTGATGGGCTTGTCCAAATCTTTTGCTTGTTCTTGAGATATCGTTTGTTCCAGTTATGGTAGCATCCTCGTTTGTGCCTCTCTGGTGCTAGGCGGACTAGGCATAGGAGTCTTCGTGTGATAGAGCTCTTCATAGAATTCCTGGGCTACATTCAACATTCCTTCGTTATCTGTCAGTGTTGCAGTTGGATTTGAGAGGGCTTTTAGGCTTTCTATCGCGTTGGCCCTTGAGTTAGCTTTGATTCTTCCGAAGAAGTGTTTTACCATTGACTCACTTAGCTTGTATTCGTTCATTATGGCATAGTGAGTTCTTCTCTTGCCTTTTTAAAAATATATGTTTCCTTTAAATTCTAGCAACCGTCTGTTGATTATGTGGAATAGCTTTCTTGAAACCACTCCCATTGATCTTGTATGGGTAGGTAGGCACCCCTCAAATTCTGCTA